CTGGTTGAAATTACTTTGTGGCAGACAGTAATTCCCCTTATAAGTGTCATTTAACAATAGGTTTCCACTGATGACTTACTACATCAGTGTAGCAAATCAAACTGCATGACAGGTGCTGTGCTGTATACAATTATCCAAGTTGGCTCAAATTTAACAGTGACAAGTTACTGATCTTCCTTTAGACTTTCCCCAAGTTTAAATGGTTTTTGAAAGATTAAACAAAGAAAAGTACTCAAACTAATGGCTGCCTTGGAGCAAGGAAATTGCACAGATTAAAACTAAAGGTCAGAGCATTTACACTTACTCAATGCTAAATTACATGTTTGATATTCATTTTGTGTAACAGGTTAGTAAGAATGCAACATTTCAGGATTTTTAAGAATCTGAAAAGCTTTGTGTTTAATAGGTATTAGATGATGAGGATGAGTTTTAGTAACTGGTCTTTTGTTTGAGGCAAGATCTTACAATTTTAGCGAAGCACTCCTTTGGTCATGCTACAAATTTCCATGGTGCGACAAAAACACTAGATTTAAACACAAACCTATCTTTAACAATATAATTATTAGAAATTATATTATAAATGCACTGATTAAACCTTCAGTATTACAGCAAAAGACTATAGAATTTGTCCAAAAAACCTGTAGCAGCCTTACTGCCACAAAATAAGTTTTCAAAAACCTTACCATTGCCAAAATCTTACAGCTGTGCCAAAACATGCAACCATTAACCACCTCCTTCATTGTAAGAATGTCAAAGGTCAAAGTCAACAGCCAGCACACATCAGATACATTCCCGAAGTCTATGTGACCCTGAACTGATGATATGTAAAGAAGATACTGAAGTGAGAGAAAATAAGAGCTGCATGGAGAGTTTTCCTCCTCTCTGAGACTCTGAATTACACTTAGGAGTAATAATTTTCAACCACTCACCCTTCAGAACGGTTAGAGATGCTGAGCCTCTCAGGCTCAGTTTGACTGATATTAGTCAAATTGCGTCATGCGCTTTTAAAGATGACTCTCTTTAACTGCAAGAGGGTGTTGAAAATAGAAGCGTTGAGCTTCAAAGGAAGCTCTCTCCTCCAAGGTCATCTCGTGTTTTAACTCCAATTTCAATACTTTATGAGCGTGACTGTAATTAAAATGATGGGGTCAGCTTTCTGATATATTACAACAGAGCAACCAATGAGGTAAAGCCAGTTAATTCTTTTTCAAATTGAAACTGGCAAACTTCACATGGAAAAGACAACTTTTGGTTTCTTGAAATGCGGACGGAGTCTCCTTTATTTAGCAAACAGGACAATAAGTTGTAGGCAGTTAACTGGAAATCTGCTTATGCTGTTATCTTAGCTTTGTAGGTGTCTCCTCAGATATCTTGGCTCATTGTCCTGCTGCAGAGCATCTTTGTGACTGATCAGAATCTTTCCTAAAGTCATTCCGCAAATAATAATATAATCTTTTAAACATAAACCATAGACATTCATGGCCATCTGCAGTGAGCAAATGCTGGAGTTCACGTCTTGTATCAAATTGGAATTTATAAATAAAAACCGGTCATGATGCAGATTTTGCTTTCTGCAGAAACATGGTCTTGTATTCTGTTGTAGATATCATTTATAATTAATGGAGCATAGCGATACATCAGGCACACCAGTAGATCAGCTAATTGATATCTAAATATACAACTGGCTAACCCTATATTCTGCAAGCCCATTTACAACCCACCTCCACCTTATTTACTGTGTTGGAAATAGTGCCATATCTGCTGTTTCTGAAGCTTCTCCGTTCTGTGCTGAGATCCTTCTGTCGCTTTCTCTCACTGTGGATTTTAACATGGATGCAGAATGGTGGGGAAGTCCCATATCACCAAATAGAACTCATTTTAGATGGAAATGAGGAAAAAATGATTTCTGCTTTTTGACTATAATGACCCTGTCTGATCTGAACCTAATTTCTTGCTTTGTACCGTGGAACAGTAAGTTCCTTTGAAACAAAAGGGCTGTTTTGACTTGGCTTTGAAATGAGATGATTTGAGATTCACAATCAAATTCTGTAACTTACTGAATAAAAAAAAAAAGTTTCCTTTTAGTATTGTTTCACTGCTGTAGAATCAAATCAAAGATGCCCAATTCACTCATTCTTTCTATACTTAAAAGCTTTCTATCTAAGAATGACATGCATTCATTCTCTGACAGACGCATCGGAGAGCAACTTGGGGTTAGTATCTTGCCCAAGGATATTTGGCATGCAGACTGTAACAGCCAGGAACTGAACCTTCCAGTTAGTAGATGAGAACAATTAGAGATTTAAAACCTTAGGATTGAGGATAAGGCTTTTCAGAATAAAGCTGCTGTTTCTCAGGCGAGTTTTCATAGAGAACTGACCAGTATTAAGATATTTTCTCACAACTGCTCTGATCAAAGATTATATGATTCAAAGTGGATATCCATGATTATACTACATATAGATTTACAGGGGTAAGAACATTGGCGCATGGATTCTTTTACAAGATGAGTGTAATACACTTGATTGATGGTGTCAATCGCTGAAGAAGAATAAAAAGTTCTTTGTCAGCCTGTGGATTTATTTCATGTTTGTCATTGTTAAAGAATTTTAAATCTTTGGTTTCTTTGCTGTATGTTCTGGTCTTTGTTGTACTTTGTTGAACTTCCACCCCAATCAGTTTTAGCAAATATTAAAAGGGAGTTTTTCCTTCCCACTGTCGCCAAAGAGATCGCCCATAGGAGGTCATCTGATTGTTGGGTTTTTTTCTGTCTTCTCTGAATTACTGTAGGGTCTTTGCCTTACAATATAATGTGCCTTGAGGCAGCTGTTGTAGTAACTTGGGGCTATGTAAATAAAATTGAACTCAGTTTTAGTTTGTTCCGGCTTTTAGATCCTTCCTCAACCCCTAATGACAAAAAACCCATGGAGGTGCACAAAGAACATCTAAAGTCCACACAGAAAGTATCCAGCCAACCAGGAGATTCAAAAGTGATGTAAACCAGGTTTGCGGCTACAGTCCTAACCACAGCAGAAGGATATCAGCCACCCTTAGTGTGGCTGTAGAGTCAAGGAAAAAGATACAGGACAGACTGATGCCCCAAAATCTCATTGCAGAAACAATCCAACTCAGAGAAAAAAGCACCAGTGAAAGAACTGAAAAACATCCAATTTACAATACTGGAGGTTGAGATGAACAGCAGTGTTACCCTGGACACCTGAAATAAGTCCCTTCTTCTCCTGAGAAAAACTCATACAAATTCATACAAGCTCTGCTGCACCCCTTCCTTTTCCAAATTAACATTAAATAACACATACATGAATCCTAATCCTCCCTCTTCCTCTCTCTCTGGTCAAGTTATCATTGGGGATCACTCTTTCACATCCATATATGTCTGCCTGAAACCTCTCCCTCCCTTTTCTCTCTCTTTCTCTGGACAAATTAACATTGCTAAGCACTCATGCACATTCAAACATGTCCCTACATCCCCTGCCTCTCTTTCTTTCCATCTCTCTAGGCAAATTAACATGGGAGAACAAACACCTTTGTCCTCGTTTCCTTGCTTTTCTCTTTTGCTCTTTTTCATCGTGTGGTTGAATTAACTTAGGAATCACAAAGAAATTCATGTAAACTCCCATTTGTATTATTTTCTGCCTATACATATTTAATTTCTGCTGCTTTTCTTTCTCGTCAGACAAAAAGATGCTGATGACCACATACATGTGCTCTTATCCTATCTCCCTATACATATCCAGTTTAGAGGGTGAGGAGACCAGGTTAGAGGTTTGCAGAATGTCAAAGGAAAAAAAACTGGGGGAACAAAAACCTCAAATGTGGAACTTCAATTAATTTAAAGCCCCCACCCATCCATCAGCTGCACCAATCAGCCAAGAATAAATCCGCGGCAGATCTAATTACGGTGCCGTCTCCGAAGACCCCGGCTGCCGCGAAGCCAATCTTCAACTCCTTGTTTGAACAGGCTGATGAACTAAGGGACTCGATGGATATCAAGTCATTTTGTTTAATTTATAAATGGATTTTCCCCTAATACTTAAATTATCATCAGCATGAGAGAGGGAGAAAGTGAAAGAGAGAGAGAGAGAGAGCACAATCCAAAGCGTTTGTAAGGTAAAAAGTCTTGAACATGTGGTGCAGGAGAGGATGGAGGGATAAATGGATGGAGGGATGGAGGAGACAAGGCAAAGAATTCCAATGAGAAATGTGTCCTTTCCCAGTTTATAGCAGTGATGGCTCTACAGTGTGTTGAATCAATTTGTTCAAACATTCAGCAAACGATAGAAGCATCAAGGTTAGAGAATGTTAGCGAGAAATGGGTTGCGACCAAGGAGAACCCTGCAGACTGAAAAATGGAGCCAACACAGAAGCATCACTGACTCCCATGTTTAAATGGCCAACTTAACAGGATCAAAAACATATGTTTACACTTTTGACTGGTTATTTTTTTCCTGCATGCATCACCTTGACGACATAATTCAGACTCAAACATCTAGACCCGAGACCGTTCAGATATTCTGCTGAGGCTAACACCTACAATTTGACTGCCAAATAAAGTGCTCCCCAATGCTATTTCAATGTCTTTCAATTAGTCTGTTACAAACTTTGATTTCATCTAGCTTCAGGAGAAACTTCCTGAAAAATCGAGTCCAAAAAGGTTTATCTGCATACTTTTCAAGAGAATATAGAAGCTTTCTGAGTCAAAAGTCTTGAGTTGTCTGGTTTAGTCAGAGTCATTGCAATTCTCCTTTGGTTTTATCAAGGTCAGCCATCAATCTCTTAAAAAGCAAAGCCTGTTGTCAATTTCATTCTTCAAGCCTCTAGAACTCAAATGGATTGCTTAATTTTGATGGTGAAGTACTTCACAGCAGTCGTAAGTATTGTCCTGTTTGAACCTTTGTAACTTCTTTTCTCAGCTTGAGGATCTGTGGTAAAAATACAAATAAAGTTTCCTAATTTGAAGCCACTCTCCCATGTGTACCTACCTGGTTCGGGCGTCTCAGAGTGTGACGATGAAGAAGCCGAAGAAGCCCCATCTTCGTTGACTGCTCCCTGGGATAGAGACATCCCTCGGCCTGGAGGAAGTTTCATCCCAAGCTGCTCTGCCATCTCCACATGATCGCCAGGGTGGATGTAGTCAAACACACTGCTACCAGTGAGCTCCACCTGCAGAAATAAAGCGTTGCTAAAAATCATCCTGTAAAACCCTTTTCGTTCTTTCTTTTGTTTCTACACAATCTTTAATTTCTTGGCTCATAGTTTACTGTTTATTATTTGTCATTTATTTTAATAATTGGTCCCACAAACCAGTGAAGAATTTGTGTGTGCTGAAAAACACTCAAATCTCAAATATGGAGAAGCAATGGCTGTTGGTTTTTGGACAGTTCAGAAATTGTTAATTGCTGAAATTCTGTTCTTTGGGGTATCATTTTCATCTTTTTTTTGCTGATTCTTTGTCCTCCTACTCTGCAGCTTGTCATCTTTCTTTCTCCTCCACCCTTTACTCCACGGCTATTTTTCAATCCATAGTTCCATATCTCTATATCCCATGCTGTTCCTTTGATTCCTAAATTCACCCTGTTCCCCTATGTCACTCTTCTACTTCCACCAATACAATAAAGGCAATCCATCTCACAATGCACACTTATGTAGAACTGGTAGGATTGAAGATTTTCCCTCAGGAAGAAAAGACAAAATGCATTGAGCATGCATTAAAAGTCTGCTGTAGATGGAGTTATTGAGCAAGCAGAAAAGAGAGGCAATTAAGACTCTTACTTAACAGAAAAATCTCTTGGAAAAGGCAAATGCATCAGTTTATTGCAAAATATTCACGTCTAATGAATTCTTCTTTTCTTTTTTTATTTTCTCTTTGACATGTTATATTTTATTGGTAAGTGACCTTGTTAAGTAAAGATGGTACCATCTGAGTATTTACTAATCAATCTGTGTAGTAAAAGAATGGCTATATGTAAAATATTATACTTTCAGGCAGGTCAAAAAGTCGAGCTCTGCCACAAGCCTAGCAGATTAGATAATCTTACTGTTGTAATGTTCTTCTATGCATCCATTTGGAAAATCTAGTTTAGCCTGCTCAAAGTTGCTGCACACCTGCAAGGTGCTTTGCAACCCACCTCCACCTGAGCTATCAGTGTCATATCTGTTATCATTGACACCTGCTTTGCTCTGGGCTGGTGTCCTTTTGCTACCCTCCCCATCTTAAACTTAGGACGGGGAAGTTGCACAACAAAGCCACGGTGCTAAGCGTTACTACAATCACTCCTCTTGTGAGTGTTATGGTCTGGACAGAAAAAACAATAATAACCTTAAAGAGTAGGATAGTTTAGGAGCCCTACCATTTGGTAGAATGGGCTATGATTTTGACCACTGTTTTTGATTGGGTCATCTCTTTAACACTGCAGCCCCTCTTGCTCGCAATTCAAATCAATATAATCGCTCTAGGAATGCTACACTAGTATTATATTTTTAACAGGCCAACTAACACCTCCACCCCTCTCTCTTTCATCCCTTCTCTCCTGCTCTTTCTTCTCCTCTCATCCCGCTCCTCTAATCCGTCCCTTGTCAGCCGTGGAGAATCAGCAGCATTTTGTCTTTCTTATGGAAATGGAATAAATAAGCTCCCTCTTATTAAATAAATACAGAGTCCCTTCACCTTAAAGACTCTCATTAGTGGCGATGGAAGCGGATTTGTCTTCGTTAATTGGGGATGAGACGAGCAAGCGCCATCTAAACCACAGCGTTACGCTTACACGCAAACACACATGAACACACACTGGTGCTTGCAAAAGCAAAACACGCAGCTTGCACAAACAAATTCCTGTCAAGGTTAGAAATGCACAAACACAGCTTGTGTGACGCACATTTACACACACACACATAATTAGGTACACAAGTTTCAAAGGTGTGATGGTTGTGCTCTGCTATTTAACATGTGTGTTTTCATTTGTAGCACATCAAAAAAGATTGTGCACATTTATTTCCACATGCTAATCTGGTTATGTATGTTTGTGTGTGTGTTCAGGTTTTTTGGGGGTCCGCTGGGACAAAGGGGATTACATGGGTGTAATCCCTTTAATAAGAAATCCCTTTAAGGCAATTTAGTCCCCTCATAAAGTCTCATCTGGAGCAGAAAGTGATGATTAAGAAATGAGGCTGATCACTGAATAACATACACACACACATTCAGACCCTGGTGCACCATGGGAGTTAGTGTTCATGTTTACACATTACAGTGCTAATTGGATCTACATTGTTCTTCCTTGCAATAACACGCTGACTTTTAATCAATTAAAACTTGGCATAACTATTTTACATAAAGTCACTGGTGGAGCTAATTACACAGAGGAAACAATGTAGAAAAGAAATTAGACATTCTGACACTTGCTGCAACAACACTTTAAAATAATTATCATGCAGCAGACCGAAAAATAACACATTACTGTAGACAAGTATGTGTCAGCTAGAAGTATGTAAAGGGTAATGGCATTTAAAAAATTTTATAACCCTAGAAACATTTTAGATGTATTCTAACATTGAAAGTAAATAAAAGTAGAGCTTTGCTCTAATACTAACAGAACTGACTTTTTTTTTCTGGGGGAAAAAAAGACATCCCCCACTTTTATTTCCAGTGGTCCTAATCCCCTTCTGTACTCACGGGGTGATGATCAATATAAACATCACAATGGATTCATAATAAATTATTTTTAAAAAACCATATGGCAATTAATAATTGCTATTTGTTTGACAGTGTTCATCCAAAGTTTCATTCAGATCGGCACATCCGTTAGAGAGACAGATGGAAGGGAGGAAGATGTTGAAATATTTTTATTATTATCCTTTATTTCTCCTGGTGAAAAGCCAGCAAAAGTTACAACAAACAGAACTGGCAGATAAAGTAAATGTAATGAAATTTCAAAATAAGTGTTCTTACAGAATTCAAAATTAAAATGAGTTGAAATTTGTGCTAAAAACACTAAAGGTCAGGTAAAATAATTTCCACAGTTATCTATTCCTTTGGTAAATGCTACCATTAGCTGCAGTACTCAAACACTGGTGCAGTCTTACATTGCACAGACATAGTGGGCATTTATGCTTCAACGGTAAATGGACGCCATAGCCGTAAACTCCCCTGAAATTGTACTCTGGAACCAACAGCAAAAACTGCTGTGCCCCTAGAAATTCAACTTCATGATTGGCCTGCTCAGCCTGCCTCCTGTGCATTTTCCAACTATTTTTATGTAGTTTTTGAATTTATTAGTGAGAGAATAACAAACATTGCCTAACTATGATGAATAATTATCCCAGCATCAATATAAGTACTCACAAATATCAGGAAATTACAGGAGGAAGGTTTCTGAAACTGTTGGAATGGATGTTAGGAAATGTACAAAGTGGAAAGAAATTAAGGAATGAACACACCTGGACCACATCAAAGACACAAAACCCAGGAGAGACAAATTTATTTGAGTCTATTGGATGTCACCACTTAACCACTTATAAAACAACGGACATGACTACGCTGCAATTAACAGGAAAATTAGGTGTTTAAAAAGTCCATGTAGCATGAAAAAGGTTTACTTTAAACTGTAAAAAAGAATATTAAGGAACCCAAAATAAAAACATGGAGCCACAAATGAGCAGAATAGGAATCTGTCTGGGAACAATGGAGGAGTTAAAAGTTGCCCTAAGCTTTATGTATTATTAGATAGTGGATGCTAATATCTTTAATGTTATGTTGTGCATGTTCGCAACACTTTATACATGAAGAGTAAATCAAGAATCTGTTCCAAAGATCACCTTAACACACAATGAAAGAATCTAGGCCAAAGCAGAAGCCGAAAGTCTCAAGTCACTTGAAACTAAAATTATTTAACATTGTACATTTAAAATGGAAAATTTCTACAATGCCATTAAAACTCAACTTTCTCAGTTGACAAGACACCTCTACATTAATTTTTCGTTCATGTCAGAAGAAGCTAGGAAAGGAAACGAACGTGTGTCTCAGGGTTATTATCGTTAACGAAAACTAACGAAATAACGAAAACTAGAAGTGAAAAAACATTTTCGTTAACGGAAATAAAAATAAAAACAACAAAAGGAAAACTAACTAAAACTGTAATGAGTGTTCACAAAACTAACTAAAATTAACTGAATTTATAGCAAAAATGTGTTTAGTTTTCGTAGATGTGTGCGTGTCATACAATAGTCAAGGGTGAAAATGAAGTTTAGTTTCCAGATTTTTTTCTTGCTGTGTCTCATTATGCCAGCAGGTGGCAGTACGTTAGTCGAGTCGTCTGTGTTGCTCTGTCCACGTGCAGAATCATGTCAGGAAAAGTCAGGAGAAAGCGCCAGAGTCCAATTTGGGATTACTTTGAATATGACTGCGTTTTGGATAAAGCAAGTGTCTTGTAGTGGAAAGAGACAAATTGTGAGGGACATTTCTAAAGGGAAAAAAATCCCACAAACCTTAAAGTGCACTTGAAAAGCTCACACAAGAAGGCTAACCTAGCTTACCTTGAGATGGTAAGGGAGCTCACTCAACCCTCATCCCCAGAAAACAGAAGCTAACCCCAGGCAAGGCAGCGTGATGCATCCCGAGACAACAGGACGGGGATATCTACATAACTGTTTGAGTCAATTGCCTTCAAAAAGTTTATCAATTCACTTGAACCAAAATTACGAACACCCGGTGCTGCAAGAGTTAAAAGTCTAATTGGGGCCAAGATATACATTTTATAGTTGCCTGGTATCAATGGTTGTTCATCTGCCTTTATTTATTTATTTAAAGAACCCATAGGTGGGAATGTGAGTTGTCTGTCTCTGCGTGTTAGCCCTGCGACAGACAGGCGACCTGTCCGGGGTGCAGGGTATGGTAGCTGGAATAGCAACATACCCAAGGATAAGCAGAAGAGAATGACTGATATGATGAAACTTAATTATTGCAAACACAACTAAAACTATAACTGAAACTAATCAAAACTAAACTGAAACTAAGGATTTTTAAAAAAATAAAAACTAAACTAAACTAGCAAACAATTGGTAAAAACTAATTAAAACTGATATAAAATTGAAAATCTGAAGTCAAAACTAAATAAAAATAAAAACTAATAAAATTGCAAAACTATTAAAACCCTGGTGTGTCTGTATGT